TTGAACTCTTTTTTCATATATCTGTTTGCAGAGGTTAGATGACTGCCAGATGTTCCAGTTATGTTGGAACGTCATTTTTGGCAGATGTAGAGATGGGGAACTTTGCTGCTGAACTACAGTTTCCAGCATACCTGCCATCACAGTTAATGAAGAATGCTGGTTTCTGTAGTTCAGAATATCTGGGGAGCCACTGGCTCTTCACCCCTATTCTGATATCTTATTGCTGCCTTTTATGCAACAAAGAAAGTCTACTGTGTTCTCAGAAGTATTTAAGTTTCCTTTAAAAAAAACTTTGTAGCTATTTTACTTTGTTTTCTTTTATTACTTTATTATTGTTATATGCTATTTAAGTCTTTATTTGGATTTTTTTTGTAAGCTAACTTTAGGGTTTTATCAGGGCGTAAATTCCTCAATTAAATATTGTAGTATTTTAATAATTTTGCACTATTGTAATTGTAGTTTGTAAGCTACTCTGAGAATCTTTTTGGGGTAAAGAAAACCAACCAACCAGAAATTAAATTGACAAGGACTGACTCCAAATGACTATCAGTCTTTCCCTTTCCTTTAACGGCCCTCCCAATACTTGTGAGGCCAAGACTGTTTTATTTTCTATGGCAGTTGCTGCTGCAGGAAGAAGAAAGAACTAAAAGTTGCAGGTTTGGGGCACAACTAAAGCTGGTAGAATGGATGGCAACTAACTCTCCCCCAATAGGTATTGGACTGATTTTTACACTATCTTATTTCAGGCCACAGTTGAAGATATGCCTGTTCATCCAGGTATTTATGGGAATACTATCTTAGGATCTGAATAGTTTATGTTATTTAATTTGCTTTGCAAACCTTTTTTTTTCTTTTTGTGGGTTTGTCATTTATTGTTTTCTCAACACCATTATTACATAGTCCATTATATTACATAGAGATATTTTTAACTATACAACTTAATGGTGTTGTGTTCACTTTTTTCCCTCCCTTCTTTCTTGTTTTTACAGTCACCTGAAAAAAGAAAGTGACAAGCCCCTTTAAATGGACCCCATTCCCCACAATGATGTCATTATCTGTTGTTGCTGCTGCTTCTTCTTGGAGAGGAAAATCAACTCGTCCTGGATGAGGGAGAAGCTACCTAGTGACACAATTACCTAAATCATTCAACAAATCCAAACAACTGCGGTGGGAGGGAGAAGGGTAGTACAAGGGAAAATATGAAAGATCAAAAAAGGATTTTGGACAAATGGCTCAACATTCCCTTGTTTCAGTAAGAAAAGGTATGAAGTATCATGCATTCCTTTTCTCCCTGCCATGTTTCCCCCCCCCCCCCACTCTCTAGCCCTAAGGTGGATGGCACTAAAAGCATAATGGGGCTAAACACGCCTCCCTTTTTTGTACCTTGACAACCAGATGGTTTTGAGGAACACTGCATTATCAGACTTTCAAGAAGGCATTATCATGTTCCTCTTCAACCCTTGAAAGATTGGGCCAAGTTAAGAGGTGCATAGCACCACAAGATGGTTTCAAGAGAGCAGCTGCCTTTTTTTATCCATGCCTTGAGGGAATTTTGATGATTCTGGAAAATACTGTGGAACGACAAGTGTGTTTCCCTTTCATTTCATTAGTGAGGGAGATTAATATGGCCACACAGTGCAAAGCATGGTTGAAACACTCTCTGATGGCAACTGCTCCTTTTCCCTTCACCCATTCCAGTCGATGTACTCATGCACATCCCGTTAGACGTGGCAGTTTTGCGTAGCAATTTGTGAATCCTTGATCTCTCCATGTGTGTGTCTAATTTCACAGTTGTATATCTTGATCTGTCCTCATATATATATATAGATATATATATTTACATACGAACATTAAAAGAAAGTCAATTATGGGAGAAGATTCTCCCTACACAACCAGTTCCACCCAGCGCACACATGGGTGTGCAAATGCACGCACGCGCACACACACACTAATTTATATATAAATGCAGCTCTTAAAGAACAAAACCAGCCAAATAGCCAAAAAAAAAAAAAAAAAAGAGAGAGAGCCTTCCAAAAAGTTTTAATGTTTGCTTTCTGCATGCCCAGGGGCTATTATTATCAAGTAATCAAGATTTTAGAATTACATTCCCTGCTAGTTTGTTGCAAAGCAGGGAAATGAAAAAAAGATACATTGAAAACAGGATCTATTCTCTTGCTGGAGTGGAAGATACTTTAGTATCTTTTTCCAGTATTTTTGCAGCTTGGTAGGTCCTTGTGTTTTGGCAATTGCATGGATTTCTTGAAATCAGCACCTTGGATAATTGCAGCACCTTGTGAGTTTATCAAGGATTCATTCTATTCAGTCTGTATAGTAGAGGAGTGCACATGGGACAGCGTGACTTGGTCAGCTGTACGCAGGTTTGACTTGTGGGATCCTGTTCATGGCATCCTGAGCATTGATTTATGTGGATGGGACACACTTCCATCATGTAGAGAAAATCCTTGCCCTGGTGAGGGAATGAAGCACCAGAAATGATAAATAGGAATTGCTAGCTTCCTCCCACCCCCCAGTAGTACCTTTTAACAACCATATTCAGTATGCACATCCCCTACCAGATTTGTGAATTACTGATCACCTTAGCATGGTCTTTAAGTTGGTGATGAAAGATCAGCAAGAAGTGGGGAAAGACATTGGCACTGGACATTTTCTCCGCTGCTAGCAGAGAAAAAGGGCACGAGATGAAAGGGATGAGACCATACTTAATTACCTTTAATCTCAGAGTGTCTTTTAAGATGCTTGGTCTGAATCACATTCTTTGGAGTGCAAGTAATTCCTCCACAGTATAAAGACATGATTTATTAGCAGGTCTGAGCTAGGGGAATGAATGAGTCAAACGTCCTTCAAGTGGAATAAATATGCTGCTGTGAGTGGGCACAATTGCCCACAGGTGGCAAACTTATAATGGCATCTCTGGGCAAAGCAAGAGGTTGGCATGATACTTTGTGCCACCTGCCTTCATGGGGCAGGCCCTGGGGCTTAGAGGATTAGAAACACTCAAGAAACAGGAGGCGTGTATATAAACTGCACACACTACAGCATACTTGTATAGAAATTCCCTAGCGTGAAGCGCCCATTCAAAAACCTCAATCTACTAGATCCCCAAAAATGATGTCGCTGTTTTCCCATCCTTTCTCCACTTCAAGACACCAAAGGGGAACGATACAGCCAGAGTAACTCGGCTTCCTCACGGAAAAAGCCAAACTGCAACTCCTTCCGGCCTCTTCAAAGTTCGGAGCCCCTTTCCGGCTTTCCCCTCCTCCCCATTTCGTCATTGGAAGGGCGCGGTCTTAAATTCTGGCCAATGAAAAACGATCTCTTTAGCATACGGCTTTTATGATGCCCAAAGCTTAGATTTTAAGGAATAAATACATAACTCCCGCAGGAAATACGGTGGGGCCTTGTGTTTTTTATAGAATTGCTTTTATACTGCCAGCGATGGGACAGGATGCGCCTTCATATTTTAGTCACCAATACCTGAAACGTGTTCTGTTCTCCCTGGGCAAAATGCCGCGCGCCTTTCCATCTCTGTGACTACAGCTCTTTTTGTATTTGTCTAGAAGGCTTTCTGCTGTGGCGGAGAGCCTCACGAATTTCGTCAAAGTAAGATATGTATCTATGTAAGAAATTAAAAGGCTGCCAAGTATTTGTGCTGTCAGCTTCCATTTGTCCAGATCAGACGTGCCGAAGGATTGGAGCCTCCGTTGCGAGGCTGATGCTGCCCATCTCGTCGGTTTCCTACGAAGCGCAAAAGAGGTGCGCTTGGTTAGTGCGCGGATGGTGGATCTGCTTGGAATTCCTGAGGCAGAAGTCAGCGTACATAGGTCACTTCGTACTGAGGCCGAGAAAAGGCACGGAAGTATCAATGCGAGTCGCCAGCGGTCGCTCTCGGCTCGAATGTGACTTTAGAAGTTGCAATAGTGGTGAGGTCAAAGCAGAAGTCATTATTTGGGTGTAGCATTTTAATTACACTGTACAACAGCCGTGCGATAGTAGGCCTAATGCAATTTGCCCCCAAAGCTACCAGGAGTCCTAAGCTTGGTTCGGTAATTTCATGAATAAATGCGTACAAAGAATTTCCTAACTTGCAATTCATTATTTATTTAGCCCACCCGTTTATTTGGGGTGTTTTCGCAATAACCAGACTGAAGGGAAGTGGCTTATTTTGCGCAAACTCGAGCAACTGGATGACTTCCACGCAGCCCGCGAGAGTGGAGAGCGTGTTTGTGTGTAAATGCAACCCCGATAAATACAGCCCCGCAAACGGCCGA